TTTTTTTTTTCACTGCCGTCCGCACCGCGGAATAAAACACGACCGCATCGTCCAACATTGTTATGGTAATCGAGAACAGGATGTCAAGTGAATTTAGAAAATTTTCTTGAGCAGATCATGTTCTTGACGTCCTTTAACTAATTACGTTACAGCAAGGCTCTACCGTGCAAAATGAATATGATATTTGCGATCAGAGTTTTAGATGATCCCTATTTCAGCAAACCCTTGAATCACCTAAGCATACCTCGGCTCATCATGGGTCGAGAAGTGCATCTCTAGAGCAGTATGAGTATTAAATCCACGACCACACTCTTCACAATGCAGGGGTCGCTCATCTAAGCTGCTATGCATATGTTCATGAGCCCATAGTTGGGTGCGTGATCTCGCTCGAAATCCACATTCGAGACATTTGAAGAATCTTTCAGACGCTGAAATAAAAGTTCGGTTAAAAAAACACTTCCACCATTGCTCCAAAAAACCAACTGTGTGATAAGCGGTGTGCAAGGAGCTCCTGAAGACTCTCTTTGGATTCAAACGGACACTGATCACAGGTATACGGCGGTTGAGCCTAGAGCAAAACTAGTATCAGATACATAAATGAAAAAGTTAAAATAAATCTGTTACCCAGTGCTCCTTGCAGTGCTCGTAGAAGGCTTTGCTCCAGATGCACTCAAAATCACAAAGTTGACACATGTACCCAGTATTTCGGTTGTGCTGGCGTGCGCGATGTTTTTCTACTTCCTACAAAAAATATCCAATGTTTGAACTCTCTTTTTGTTACATAGAAAGATTATGATCCTCATGAGTTGAACAAGTCAGTTAAATGTGATGAAACTATCTTACCTCTGCCGATGTGGTAGCAAATTTGCAAAATTTGCAAGCATGTGGTCCTCCTTCTACATGTACGTCCTCTCCATCTTCTACTTCTTCGGGGTCGATAGCATCTTCCTGGGTGTAGGTCACCGCCCCGCTAAGAGATGATGTAGCATACACACCATCCACGTCATCGTCATCCATCATTGGCAATACTGGAAAAGTAAGATTTAAAGAGGAGAGCAACGGCAAATAGAAAATTCGCTCACTTTCATTCTCGTCGGTTCTTTTGGGTGGTCGCCCTCTTTTTCTAGCTACAGAGTTACCTGTAGGTTTCCGTAAAACTTTTCCCCTGCTAAAATATACTGATATGACCTTTACCTATTTAGAAACATGAAGTGATATACAGACCCCTTTTTGCTGATGTCCGCCAAGGGTACACCTCCAAGATTAATTTTCAAACGCACTCTTGGCTTCTCAACGCCGTCTTCGGTGTAGGTGGTTTCGAGCTGAGGCGAACATTTCTATTAATGATGTATAAGAATGGTTCAGATATGAAGTCAAAGATGGCACGAAGGAAGACGCGCTAACATGAATTATTGTCAAAAGAAACGAAAAATGAACTGACTATTGTACTGGTAGTAGGATGACCTTCAACAGGTGCCTCGTCATCATCTTCATCTTCCATATGATCAAAACTGAAATTAATGGAAAAGATATTGGCATTACTACAAACGCATTCTGCAAACCAGTGACGCACCAATGAGAGTAAAATCGTATGAACGTCAGGAATGCCAACTCATTCTACATCTTTTTTTTCCAATATGTTTGAAAAGCTGTTTCAATTTATTGAGAAGATGTTCCATTTAGCAATTGTCCGACAAAGATTCTACCCCAACAATTCGAGATTATACTCATATTTAAATTTTATAAATATTAACATGAAGGATCGCTGGAATATAGGAAAAAAACAGTAGGAATATGCTAACAATTTTGTACAGTAACAATAAATTAATATTGAAGGACTATGGCATGATCAGCACTTTGCAAGTATGTCGTTTTGGGTAAAAGTATTGTAT